GTTTTAGATCAATACCCCAGCAGTTTCATGTCGGGGTGCTTAATGGAGGATAGGGATGCCCATTGTCCACTCTCGGGATCTATAGTCTTCAAAAACCCACCGAACTCTCCTGGCCGAGTTGTTTTGCCCTGAGTCCTGCAGGCGACCGTGAAGTGCTGGGCTCAGTCCGACGTCCGTTCGACCGCGAGAGACAGTGACTTGGTTCACCTCTCCGGAGGGTGGACGCTCGAAAGCTGCAGGAGTAGACCCCCCCCTCTTTGGGCCGGCCATTGCGGTAGACTCTCACTGATGGCCATGTAGCCTCACCTAGTCTGGGGGCCGGATTCTTAGGGATGGGTCCTGGGCCTTGCAGGCGCGGGCGCCGTGCAGCCCGAGTGGACTGTCGGGGTCTTCTCAAAACCACTCAGTCTCAGTTGTAGAGGAAAATGGTCGAAACCACGGGGTCATTTTCAGGGTCCAGGTTAGTCTCCCCTAAGAGAAGTGGTCACTAGGCCGTACCAACTTGTCCGATCTCGCAAGGGATGTGTGGGGATTGTGGGAGCAAAGGAGTGTGCTGAGGGGGCTAGTGCTTTTTCTGTGAGAACGTAAGGGCCTTTTGTATCTGTATCAACTATAGTTGATGTACATGAACGGGCAGTAAATGGAACTTTGCAATCTGGACCTCTGCAGGAGGCCAAGCACGCCGAGTTGGCAAAGCCATGTGCCATGCCCTGAACATCGAAGACGGACTTCTTTCCCAGCTTGTCTCTGAATTCTCTAAGGTCGATGATCTTCTTCGTGGCGCGGTTGAAGCCAAAAACTGTTGAGAATCGAGTACTGAAGCTTCTCATCAAGATGATGCAGGCCAGGAGAAAGTTAGACTTTTCATGATTTTTCGACTCATACGCAGCTGGGAGAGTTGGAGTTGGAGATATCTGCACAAGATTGGGTAGAGATGCGATGCAAGAGAAGCCGATGAGACTGAGACCCTGAGATTGCCATTATCCGCAAAAGGGCAGGTCAAATGGAGGGTCTAAGATGCAAGATGCGGTGATCAACCACGGGTTATTATGAGGTTTTAGGGTTTTAGGGTTTAGGTCTTGTTGATGTTGACGTTCTTGATACCTTTACAACCTGTTCCTGTTCCTTGACAAACAACTTTCGAAACCAACGGCGAATCAGCGAGATCGCCCAAATCAATCCAGATCGAATCATGTGCATTTCGCTGCGCCGACATCCGCGTGCCGAAAGCGCGCTGATCGTCGTCTCCCAAGCCCCCAGGATTCCGAAGCCTCGATCCGGACCAACGCCCTCATTTGCGTGGGCCGCGTCTCCAGCCATTTGCCACTCGGATCGAGGTCCGGGGTGTTTTGGTTTTAACTACTTTTTTGGATGAAACCTTCTGAAACGTGGGCAAACGACGGAATTGCAATGCTGCAGCTCTTCTTGGTTCCTGGTGCTTCGGTGAGGGAAGTTCATCCTATAGTACTATCTTGAAATTACTCGTTGCCTAGGTGAAACATACCTTTTGATGGCTGCACAATTAATTGATTATGGTTTCTTGTGGCTCCTTCACTTGCCTCACCCATCCTGACCCCAGCTTCGCCTCTTGAAAACACGTAACCGGTCGGCTTTTTCGGCGATGTCACCAGCGTTTTGGAAGAAAAGAACCGGTTCGAAAGGCAGGGCCGCCTTTTTGGTCACTTAGTCCCAGCTGGTTCAGGTGTTCTCCCCGCTGAACACTGGAAATCCGTGCGACACACGCCGAGGCCAGCGGCTTCCGTGAGTCCAACCCTGATGACGGTGGTGGGAATGGGCCTCAAGGAGTGGGGCGATGGTCGGAGGTCCTGCCGGATGAGCATAGTAATTCTAATTAAAGCAGCTTGTTTCTAATAGCTTCTTGTTACTACTAGTAAGGCACTTGTTACTAGAAGCGATGCACTTGTTACTAGTAGTTCAAAACGCATGGTTGGAAAAAACGCCCTAATTGGGTGGGTGTGAAGGATATGTCAGGTTCCCTTCTACTATCACCAGGGGGTCATTGCTTTTCAATGCTTTTCATGTTGTTTGCTAGTGTGAGATATACTGATGTACTGTGTATCGACAGTATGCAATACAGACGCCTCCCAGTGAAGTTAGCTGCACTCTGCAAAACTCCCATGCCTTTGCAATTGACATAATTTTACTGGTAAAACACATGCTGTTGTAGAGTTCTACATCCCAACCATGCATTTTGAGACTCAACAACACACCAAACACTCAGAGGCTAAACCTACCTCCCAGTTTGTCCCCCGATTGGCCAAAGTGTCCCACCCTCTCCGTAGCTGGCGCTTCAGGTGGCGGTAGCTTGCGTCCGGCTCGGGTCCGGCTCGTCAGGATCCCTTCACTCCGTGCCGCTGTGCCGCCTTGCAGACGTTCGATGGCCTCAGAACATCGATTGCCTTGCGAGTGTGTCCTGCAAAAGGGGGATGGAAACCATAGGTAACTTTTTGGTGAAACAAATCCGAATAGTTCAATCATGTTCAATCCCTCAATTGTTGTCCTGGGGGAGACAGCTCTTTTCTAGATCTCTCGTGTTTGCCACTTTTTGCAGCAGGGTGTCCAAGGGGACCTCTCCGAATGTGCAAGAGTAGCCTCACTGGCTCTCCCACACGGCTATGTCGAAGTCGGCTTTTGACGGTCAGGGCCATGACAGGTGACAATCATTCCCCAACTGGATGAAAACGGGACGAGCTCAAGAGCTGGGGGCAAGCTCATTTGTCCGGTTGCCAAAGTGGAAGATGGAATGCTGAAGGCAGCGCAACCTCAGCCACCCGCCCCTCGTGCTGGGTAGAACTTGCCGGTTCATCCTTTTTGATTTAAGCAAGTCTGGCAACCCATAAGTCTGTATGCAGCAGTGCTTCTTCATCCCTTTTTGGCAACGAAATTGAAATTGGACATTGCTTGCAGGAGCATCTAGAAACCTGTGTTTGTTGCAGTTGGATTTGTCTTGAGGGATGGATGCGGCATAGGGATGTGTTGAAAAACACCCCATGTTTCTTCCTTTGGTGACCACATGGAACATCATGAAACGGTCAACTCTGTTGACTCGGAGCAACTCCACCATGGGACACCGATGTGTCGACCAATGGTCGATTGGATCGGAGTTGCGACGACGGACCTGAGGGGGGCAACAAGAACAAGACCGGGGGACATGGCGTGAAAGATGAAATTGTTTCATGTTCAATATACCCGTGTGGAATCCCTTTATGTTTTCCTGTACCTGGACGTCCTTTATATATAAAAGTAGATAAGGTCCCCCTACCATGGCACGCACATGAGCCTTGGATTCAGGATTTCATAAGTTTTTCGCATTCCATGATGATTTTATCAATCTGGATTTTACAAGAGCACATATTATTCTTATTAAATTCCTAGTGGTGGGTCCACTAGTGAACTACCTGAGTTTCAGGATTCTATTAAACAATACCTGGAGATTGCTTTGAACAATGCCTGGTTTCAGGATTCTATAAATTCCCTCGGCAGTTGAAACAGATCCTGAGTTTTTGTTCTTTGTTATTTATTTGTGTCGTTTGAAACGCCCACGCCTGTGGGACTTTGTATACCATGCCCACGCCTTTGGGACTTACAACCACGCCCGCGCTTGCGGGACTATCAATGAGTCGGACAGTCTTGGGTCTGCACCCCAATCAATGTGGACTCATTGCTTTCTTAAGCGCAGCAGGCCGGATGACCACACCGACGAAACCCTTTCAATGCAGGATCGCTGGCGGAAAATTCGTTTTGTGACTTCAGCGCAGCAGAAGGTCGGCAAGCGCGCACCCAGCCTCGGGCATCCCAATGCAAACGCCCAATTGCATCTATATAGGTCAACCTCCTTGCAAGGCACGGTGATACCAACCTGACAAGCCATTAACTATCCACAAGCCAGGTTCCAGCACATCTTCAATGGCCCATCATCAATAGTATCCTCGCTAGCTATGCTAGAGTTATCCTCCATCGTGAGCTCGTCCGGAGCAGCCTCCTGTGCGGACTCGCCCTCTGTGTCCGAAGCGCAGTCTAGCCCGCCAGCCCGCAGAGGCGGCGGCTGCTCTTCGACCGGCATGACCCCACGTTGGAGGCCCTAAACGGAGTCCAGCCCTCAGCCACCTGACGCAAGATTTCCCGCTGGCAACGTAAGGCTGGTAGTACATCATCTCTGCGGATCTCTGCGGTACTTCTCAACGCAACCTGAGCTGGACCGAAGCCTGTGGTGACCTTGCACTGCCCGATTCTTTGGAGAAATCTGCAACTGCACGCCCCAGGAAAGGTAAGTTGCTTTCAGGGAATGCAAAGGAAACTTGAGAACACTTTCTCTACCCAAAGAGGTGTACTCGCACAGACATCTGCGATGCTGGGCCAACGCACAAGAATATTGTAGCGGTTGCGCGCCGTCAGATAAAAGGAAATCTCGTTTCGGGAAAGCGCAGAACTGCAAGGGATGCACCAAACTCGCGACCCAAGTTCAAGCCCGTTGCACCACAGTCCCAACATCCCCACGCAAAACCTGTGGGGCTAGTCTTGCCCCGCCAGACCCAGCCACGGATCGTGGCGTCCAAGGTTTGCACGGAAGACAAGTCGACACGCTGAATGTCCGAAAAGCGCAGGCTGCACCAAACCATGTAAAAAACAACCAACCAAAAACCGATCCTCGAGCGCCCCGACGATGCTTCTTGCTCTAACTGGCACACTAAAAAGGGGCAAGGGCAACGCCTCCCGTGTTGGTTTCCCGTGCCACTTTTCCGCGCGCACCCAACTTGACACAATCGGCCCGGCCAGCTGCTCTCCCAGGTCTTTCAATACAAGCTTGGTGGCATTGAATTTGAGGGTATGCACCACTGCTTTGGCGCCCGCCACTCGGTTAAGACCCCGGTTTTGGCGTGCCCCTTCGGCCAAAGCCTCTAAGAACCCCAGAAACTGTTGACTGTCCGGCTGCCCAACAAGGATGACGGAATCTCGACAAAACCGTAGCCACTTCTGCCAGCCACTCAAATGTTTGCGTATATAGAGTGGATGGCGCTCGTTTCTTCAAGCTGCTGTCCGAGAGCATGCCGAAAAAGCCTGACCGTGATGGATTGCAAGGGATGGAACAGACAGCTGTTATTATCTTTTTCTGTGTGGCATTTTCAGTGTTTTTGTTGGCACAAGGAATTCATAAATCAATGGTGTCCCAGTCCCGGGATGTCCCGGGGAGGACGTGGGAAAGAATCCCACCAAGATCTAGGAGTGTTTCCCCGGGGAGTTCAATGTTCCTATGCCAGGATTTTATAGAACTTCAATTTTGAAACATGAGCCTTGACCCACAAGACTTCATAAATATCACGAGTCGGATTGTCCTAGGATCTTTTTCTAGGACCCCAGGTCACCCCTGTGAGTACTGACGGGTATGTTGAATCATGTTAGCACAAGGTACTGACCTGGTTTGATTTACAATATGTTACATGTTACGGCACTCCCAACCCTTGGGGTCACGCCACGGACCGACATCTTCCTCACGAGGCTCTCAGCGACCTCCAGCTGCTTATCGCCTGAGGAGGGCATCGTGGCGCATCGTAATAGGTCCAGACACGCGAGCGTCCAGGTGAAGCCCATCAAGCCCTGCACTGATCATGTATATATCGTTTTTTGATAATGTCATTGTGTGGTTTCCTCATGTTCATGTATGACATTGTTTGTGTTTTTTTTGGGGGGTGGCTTTAACCCATGTTGAACGGTGGGGAGGAAATGCAAATCTTCCAAATTCCTCCATGGGGTGGGGCACTTTTTAAGTATACAAGCAAACAACAAACTACTGGATGCGACTAAGACAAGGTTCTTGATGACAGAATACTAGTAGTTTCTTTCATGGACCATGACAGACCCCATGCAACATTGTCCATCAACAATCTACCACATGCAGTGCACCTGTTTTTGTCCACATACTACTGGTCTTGGTAGCAAACTTGGATGCAGATTTGCTTTACATTCCCTATGTATCCGCATATATACCTTCTCAGAAGGTACTTGGGCCCTCCTGGCGCCTATACATAAAGAATCATAAAAAATTCCAATCACCTTCTCATAAGGTGGCAGTGGATCCATAGGGATTGCTTTATGTTTGGGTCACCTAACCTGCACACCCACGGCCGCGGTTTGTGTCGATCCCAACAACCGAAGGAGTTAGCGCAGAAGCTTCTACCAGGGGTTTGCCACCGATTGATAGATCCAGATCAGGCCAAGTGACGCAATTCGGTGCATGTCGGAAGTTCCGGAACTATTTGTGTTGGAAGGGCCAAAGTGTCAAGCAGGCGATGAGATGGTTCAACAGCGGCAGTGCAGATTTGTCCTTGTGTTTCAGACTCACTGATCCTCAAGATCTCCCAGAACAGACCTCCACAGTCTTCCCCAATGCTGCCAAGTATGCTGCCACTGCGTTATTCTTGTCACAAGGGAACATGGGTGTGTGTTGTTCTGCCGCATTGACTGCTGTGGCAGGCGGTGGCTGACATGGCCTTCAGCACCCTCAGCAAGTTGCAAGATGTCGTGAGGCAGGGACAAGACTCGATGGTGTGTATCAAGTCAAAGAGGAACTGATTTCTTGGGGGCGTAGGCAATGTAGGCAATGTCACTCCCTGAAAAAAATAATGATGGAAGTGAAGTGACTCACGAAAAACCCACCTGGTTGGTATTCAGAAAATGGGCCATGCCATCCACCATGAATTGCAGGCGTTCAATCGTGTTTGTTGAGTTCATGAGAAACGCATCGGCAGAGTGGCAATTTGTGTTTCACCACCCGAGCGCAATTTTCTTCAGCCGAGAGTGCAGTGATACCACTGGACTTGGGTCTGGTGAAAATTTGGAAGACTCGGAGACACCAATCCAAATATTAGCAAGGGGTACTTGGCATGTGTGACCTAATTACTGCAGATTTTGGAAATCAAGACCTGTCGCACCCGCCTCTTCAGCTTTGGAGTCTTAAACATTGAGCCCTTTCCGCATGTAGAGCCTTCAACAGACACTAGTCGTCCCTTCTTCCTGAGAGCCTGAGGTTGAACATCCATTTTTTACTTGCCCAGACGCTCCAAACAGCCCTTGGGTCCCCCTGCATATGAGGGTCCAATATACGAAGGTCAGTGGAGTCTTCTGACTCTCCCAGCTCAATAGGACCACAGGACGCCCCCATGGTCCTGTCCACACTCGTCCTCCCATCCTCTCCTGGCTCGCACCTCACTTCGGTAGGCAGAAGATGGCTGAACGCCGCGAGGCTGCGCAGGAGACGCCGCGAGGGCGGTGGGATTCCGTTCCCGCCAAGTTGGGGGATCTGCCGAAAGCTTTCAGAATGGTGATCTCATAGAGACTTCAGGAAATCGTCAGGAAGAAAGTAAATCCAAGTGAATGCCAATGCCAAGTAAATCCCTCTCCTGCGAACAGATGTTGGAAAACGTTCCATCCATTTCCATCCATCCCTATTCTCCCGATTGGATAAGTAAAACTTCATAAAACTTCACTAATCAACTAATCTTCACTCTCTTGGCTTTGTCAGTTCCTACATTTCAGCCATCATGCTGTCGGGTAGTGGTGGTAAGCAGGCCATGCCGGCTATGAGTTGGAATTTCCACTATCCAGGATATGATATGTGTTAAGTGTGAATATGTTATGTCTTTGTGATTATGATGGGTTGCATGTTTGGTTTTAGTGTACTTGAACTTCTTTCCACTGGGATGGGCATTGGCTTGACAGTTCCAAGGACAGTGTAAATGTGTGTGTGTGTGCGCGTGGGATGGAAGCTTTCTAATGGCTCTGGTGAACCTCCAGTGCATAACACGAACATACACCAACCATGTTGTCGGAGTCGGTAAAAATCAGATAACTGTTTGTGCAGTAGTGAGATTGTTGTTGTACATTTGATTTTTCTTGGCTCTTCGTTCTTGCGTGTTATGCAAATGTCATTTGTTTCACATGTCATTGTCCAAACAAACGCTATAATCTTCAAGCTCTTGCCACGCAGGAGGCACCACAATCCGAGCAGCTCCCAAAGGCATCCCGCCACAGCTCGTTGGGACTGGGGAACGACCGACTTGTTTTGGGTGATCGTCCTACTTAGAACATCTACTTCACTCTAAGTCTAGATGACCATGGACCCATTCCATGTAGGTGGGAAGATCCGAAGAGGTGTGAAGATCCGGGCATCAGCACGGATCCATTCACATTGATGTTGATGACCCATTGCCATATCCCATGCTCGCATCACCTTTCTCTGCACACTGACCAGATATCTCAGATATTATCAGATGGGTCAAGCCTGGAAAGTTCAATCATGGGATGGGGCGTTTGTTTGCTTTTGACTCATTACGGCTTTTTCAGCATTTCAACACGGTGGTGTCAACGTTTGCATGAATATTCCCTTCATTTCACTACAATGTTTTGTGTTTCTTTGTTCAGGTTCAGGCTGTAGATGGATTTGGTTCTACATGGCATCGACGTCCATGATAAGACTTACAAGGTGCATTTTGGATGATTTTGGAGGGGGTCCATGTGGGAAAGTCTGCCACATATTTTTGGTGAGAGTGTGCCCATGCAGAGATCTCTAGTTGAAAGATCTTGCACGCTTTCTCCGGAAAAGGGGTGTTTGATGGTCTTTGTTTCACCATTTCAGGTTCATTTGGTCCATGCCTCACCCTTTCACATCACCTGGTTCGGTCACCAATGAGGCCACCACACCCACCATCACCCAGGAAGACCACTCTGGATGGGCCACCAGTGCAGGCGAGGCTTCAAACAATCGATGCTTTGGGCACCGGACGTACGTGGGACGCTTCGAGCGGACACCTCTCCTGCTGCAACTGGAGTGTTGATGACGGACCGTAAGGGATTCTTCTGAGGTGACGCTGGGCGTCCAATTTGGTCCTTCTCGCTGGGTGGAATAGAGCTCGTGGCCACCAGGTTACCGACACCAGTGGTGTTCCGGTGGGGCTTTCTACCTGGTGCGTTTGAGGTTTGGCTTTCTATACAGGTGTTGTGCTACCAGGATCCGGGTTCGCGCATGGAAGGACCGGATCCATTGGTGTTTTGGACCCTCAGCATGGCATGAAAGACCAGGGAGGAATTATTTATAGGGTTGTTTCGCGCTTGGAGGATAGGGAAAGACCGTCACATCACATCCACAAAGCAGATGGGTCGGCGTCTTTCGAAGCTGCTACCTGCCTCTCCATGCATCTCCCCTGGATTTGACGGGTTTGGTCTCTCTTTGGTATAGGAAGAGACGACCAATCCCCATGTAGCTCCTTCTTTACAAAGAAATCATGGGAAGGAGAAAGTCAAAGCTTGCAACAACGATTTTCTCTTCTCATCAATACAGTAAAGCCGACGGACACGTGGCGGCCCGGCCCAGCAGGGAGTTTCTTCGGCATGGACAAGGTGCGTTTGTTTCAGCGGGTGCGTCAGCGGGTGCGTTTCCGCTGAGCTGACGAGGGGAGTCTCGTTCCTGTGAGCTGACGAGGTCAAAAAGATCACCGGAAAAACATCATTGAGAGGTGATCAATCCAGGAAGAAACATGTTCTTTTTTTGTGCAGGACCTGCTGATATCCAAGTTGTTTGTTTTTTTTTTCGGTTTGGCAGCCTCCCTTGTCGGTGCCGTGCGCTCGCTCCGAGGGAGTTAGAAGGAGTATACGCATGATTCCCCTTGGAATGGAAGGTTACGCTGTCGGGGAGTAGTTATACTTCCAGGTTTTAGATGGTTTTGGTGATGTTCGCCTTTACCATTGGGGTTTGGAAGGCTACATTGTTAACCCACTGCCACCTGTTTTTGCGCGTTGATGTACCATGGAAACACTCCAGTCAGACTACCCGATAACACGCACACATACCTCACATAGTATTTAAGCATGGAACATGAAGTGGAACCCTTAATAATCCTTTAATAAATACCGTTGCTGATCAACCGGTTCTCACTCCTTTTCGAAAAGGCTTTCCCAGTCCCCACACACGGAGCTGGACCGGGTTGATCCCAGTCCCCCGAGCCTTTGTCACTATATAGATAACCATCTCTTCGGGCAGTTCCGAATCGCATCGGAGGTCTTTGAGCTACCCACACTGGTGGGGTAAACACCCTCCACTTCCGAAGTAGGTGTCCCCACATCGGATGGCCGGGTCGGTGTTCTTTTCTTCGTATACCCGGTTTCGGTCTCTGACCTGTCTCGCGACGCGACGCGAATGGTCTCAAGACGCGATTGGTCTCACCTGTCACAGGTGCGACAAAAGCTGATGGGTTCCCTGGGCCGAAGGAAGCCGTGCGACGGAACGGTCGGTCCTGTGCTACGGGTTCGGAAGGTGAGTGTGCGGGTGAGTGTGACGGGCGGTTCGGATCCGAGCTGCCAAACACAAGTTGAGAGGATTTGTGGGTGACCCCCAACCAATATAACAGACAGACCCCCTCCCAATAACCAATGTTTTCAAGTTTAGTGTGTAATATTCATTGGGAGACCCCCAACCAATGACTTTAGAGGTATTTGGGGTGTGTATATCACCCCCTTTTGCTGGCTGAAAAGACTGGATGCTAGACTGGTCGATGTCTATCAGTCATCAGGGGTCCGGGCATCAGGGGGCGAGACCTGTTTGAGATGCACACCCATATGATCAACCCGTCTTGTTTGGAATTCCTATACTTGCTCCCCTTAGCCTCTGGAAAGACCTTCCATGCGTGTTGCAGGGAGGGTTATAAGTTATAAGCGAGAGCTATTAAATCCATAGAAAATGGGTAATTACTACGTGGATGGTTTGGCTTAGTTGTCCATACTGCTTTGCGGACTGAGCACTCTGCGGCTGTGGCAGGGCCTTCCCCCAAAGGTGATTCGAATCCGGTTCCTGACCTTCCAGAGTCCGTTCAATCCGCTTCCTGAACATGTGGCATGTTTGCAGACGGACAAAAGCCATCTCTTTCTTTGGCCGACTCTACATGTGGAGAACATGTGCAAAGTCCCCGCCCCCCTGGTTGTTCTTTGACTAAGGTCCAAGGTCCAATCTGGTTGCTGTCCTGTCCTGCTTTCTCGGAGCCAGTCAGGTGAACACAAGACGTATGTACCATGCAGAGTTCGCTTCTTCAACAGCGAGCGGAGTCCAACTCGTCATCGGACCTCTCACCCCCCAAAAAATGGCCCAAGTTGGCTTCCTGACATGGGGATACTCACAAAAGCCATTTGTTATTTGGTTACTCAAGAATCCCATGCCCTTTGGGGAACGAGTTTTCCTTTGACCATGTCTTACACATGACATGTAAGAAGACATGGAGAACCTCTTGCTCAGGTGTTGCTGGCTCCATGACCACTGAGAAGAGCGTTGCAGCCACGTTCGAGGACTTGGAGGGTGACCTGGGAAGAGGTCACTGCGATGTGATAGAAGTAGTTATATATACCAAGAAACACCCAACCCAGACACAACCCATGGGTCTGGCCTATTAACCGATCAGGATAGTGGGTTGAAAAGGGGTCATTGTAGGCATATGATACAATGGATGGTCTGGGCAATGGAAGAGCATCATCTCCCGAATCATCCTGTAGCTTTTGGGTATCAACGGATCACACATGCTTGGGTGGGTGATTTACGCATGCTGTTCCCCAAAGATGTACGAACCAGCCCGACTTGGCAGGTGACCCTGCTTGATCGCTTGCTCAGTCGTGTTTCACGTGGGCGTTGGATCCTCCACACGTCCCAAGTGTGGACGTGTCAAGTCGAAAGAGCGAGCTCATAGCAGCTGGCTTTTTTGGCGTCCCCACTGCGCCCAGGTCCCCAAATGAGGCGACGTGGAGGGAGATGGAGGGTTCTTTTTGCGGCAGGATTGGTGGGCGGAACCCTTGGTCCCACCACTGGCTTCGGTTCAAAGTCTCAGCCCGCTATATAGGGATGATGGACGGAAGGATTTTAGAGATTCGCTACACCAAGTACACGAATAGGCTTAAGAAAAAGGGAACAACATGATACAACCAGTGCGTCAGGTGTTTCTGCCACGTTGCGACGTTGACTCGGCTCGAGTCTGTTCCTGTGTCTTAAAATGGATGGGTTGACCTTTGGCAACAGAAACCCAGGATGAAGACCCCAAATTCTTTGGAGTATGTTGAAGGTCCTTTTTGATATACGTTGGACCTTTTAGTTTGTTCGGGTGAAATTCTTAATAATGCGGCAATATTGTTGGTTATGCAGACCTCTACTGTAAAAAACTATATAGATTATTTTCAGATGTCACGAAAGCTAGCATCAGCTAGCTGGAGTTGCTCTTGCTTTAGCAAGTCAAGGGCTCGCAGCCTCGAGAATCATGAATCACGTGAAAACTTCACGTGTAGGGGGGGGCCCCCCCCCCCCGCGGGTTCAACTCCCCCCTGGGACGCTTCCGGTACGTGCTATAGTGCTATGTTTAGGTGGCAGGTGAAGTAGGCCACTGTTTGAGTTTGGAAGGGGGGGCATGAAACATGAAATTTACGCGAGGGTTCAAGGCTTCAATGATGAGCAACACGGGAAGTCAGAAACCAGGCGTATCAGATACACGTGCCTTTGAGCTTCCTTCGGCATCTCAGTGCATATGGCTGACACTTCACTCGACAAAGATGCTCAAACAAACATACATAAGCCAGGTGTATCTGATACGCCTGGTTTGTGACTTCCCGTGATGCTCATGATGCTGCGTTGCTTTTCTTCAGTCCCTCATTACATATACATGACGATCCAACAGCAGATTCAACAAGCTCACATGTTCATGACATCGACATCGATAGAAGAAACCAAACAAATCATGCAAGCAGCTTTGTTTTGCCTCTGGGACACCTCTTGGGCACCTCTTATGGCATCCACACTGGTTCAACTCCTCCGTGGAGGTTTTGGGATACAGCGCAACAGATTCAACAAGCTCACAGGTTCGTGAACACATCGGATGCATCGAACAGTGTGGCAAAGTCCAGCCACGCTTCCTTAATTATCGGGACTTCAATTCTAAGGTTGGCTGTGTCATTGCTGTTTGTGTGTCTTACATGTTCACAACCTCATGAGCATTTGCCTCACTCCGCTTGATGTCCCACCAGTCCGGATGCACCCCTGCTAGCTTTCGTCACCTACCCTCGGCCTCAAGTTTGGTTCTACTGAGTTGGTTGAGCCTGAAACCATCAATTCAGATTGTACACCCTTGGTTTTTGGAGCCCTCTAAACAAGATGCAGCTTTCTCTTTTTTGTGTTCAGATAAAGCCCATTTTGGGGGGTTCCACATGGTTCAACTTCCACGTAGATGATGTGCCCACCTACCCACTTTGGCTGCTTCCTGGTCAATTGGGTCGTGTGAGGCAAATCATGAGAGTGACTGGGCGATGAAGATTTCGGGGCCCCGAATGACCTGGGGGTTCCGGGAGTGGGTTTTTAGGATCGACGCTCGACGTGGAGTTCACCGGCTGTTTGTATTGGGATTTCATGGTCGAGGCCATGCCAAGCATCATGATTGTTCCAGGGTTCCAGAGACTGTATCATGAATGTTCCATTGAGTCTGCTGGAATCCAAAAGGCATGAACTTGGGTGCTTGAAGCATTCTTTGACCCGTCTCCTTGCAAAAAATGGGCTAAATACGCCCCGTGGATCTGCTGATGAAGCTTTTAGAAGTGACTGAGACGAGAATTTCAGAATATTTGAGCAACGCGCTGTTGGGGAAGATCCGGAAATCAACGGAAATCCATACCCATCAAGAGGAGCTTGCAGTGTTGGCTTGTTAAGTGGGGGGAAACGAATCGAAGGAGGGCATTTGAAGCTTCGGTGACGGTTCGGTCGGCCTCGGTTGGCCTCAAGATAGATGTCTCTTCAGGCAGAGACGAGGCACTGGTGGAAATGATCCGATCGCACTGACTGGTGAAGCTGGATTTGGGGTTGGGCGAACGGGCTGTCCGTGTCTTCCGACACAGAAGAGGAGAAAAAGACACGGCTGCCCCGTATGACGGGGCCAAAGAAAGGGATGGTGAAGAACCAGGAGTTCCAGCTTAAGATCCATTAAGATCCATTTAGCACTCCGACATGGAACTGCTAGCAAGTGTTGAATCCATACCCTCAGATGTTCAGTCCAGGGTCTTTTGTTGCGTTGGACTGAAGACATGCCTTCGTCCACTGCCGAGCCAAGGCTTTCCTCCCACTGCTCCAGAGCAGCCAGGCGGCGTCCAGCGCTGATGATTTCTTTCAACACAAACACACACCTAAACCATCCTGTCTGGGTAAGTACTAGTAGTGAAGGGTAGTCCAGCCAGCACACCCAGACAGGATGGTCCTGGCCCTCACACCCTAGACATTCGTAGACTGTTGGAGGATGTTGGAGGGGTCCGTTCAAACTAACAGAGAACAACAACACAAATCCGATGGTGCCAGGCCCTCCCAGAGCCGGGATGCGTTTGGAGTCTTCCAGCAGTGGAGGTGGAGCTCGAGCCAGGAAACTCGGGAGGTGCAGGTCCTTCCACGACTCCAGCTTTTCAGACATGGGTCCTGATCCCGGCCGGTTTGAAGCCGGTTGCGATGCTTGTGCCTCCATTTTCACTCATTTCGATTGGAGAGCATACAAGAACTCTAGGACTGTGGCATGTGCTTTTTGGGAGACGTTTCAAGACCAGATTCCAACAACGGCGGACTTTGAGGCCAGGAGCAAAGAGACGAATCCTCATCAAGGAGGGGGAGGCCCCGGGGAGGGCACTTGGGGCTGGGACATGTTTGGCAAAAGGAGGATGACTGGACCGGGCCAAGGTGAAGAAAAACATCGAAGAACATCAGCGGAGTTTTCTGGGTCACATTGTCGTGCCAGGTGCCCTGGACTTAGACATGGAGTTTGATGACGTGGGAGGTGCTTGGGATGAGGATCCATTGGGTTCCAAGGAGCTACTAGGCTGCAGGCTGGCCGGGTGGTGTTGCAGGTGGTTTAGTACGATCTGGGTGGTTTACGGTTTCGTGTTTCTGAGATCATTTGGAGACTCCGTTTGCATCGCATCGAACCACATGTACCGGCTTTTGAAGGTCATGGGATTCCCTTCTTGTGGGACATTGGAGAGACGATCGAAATCTAAGAGGTTGAAGTGGCAGACCCGGCGCCACGGGCGAATGACGAAATCCAATCGAAATCCCTCTTTTGCCCATCAGGTCATTTGATTTTGTGGGACATTGGATCAGATTTCCGCACTGCGACCGGTTGCAGGATCACGGACCCGGATGGACGGATGGATCGATGTAGCTCGCGGTGTGGACGAAATCTGAACATGGCGCAAGATCTCAGGGTCAAGAGAATGTTGACGAGGTTGGTGGATTTGTGGCATTTTTGGGGGGGGGTTGGGTGTTTTCAGTTCCCGGATTGGTGTTTTCCCTTCCCGTGGTGTTTCCTTTTCCCAGATTGTTTTTTTCGGTTCCGGTAAAAACATGTCAGTTTGCGTAAACCCACTGCCGCAAAAACACAAGGTACCCGGTGAACCCGGAGCCCTTTTTTTGGTTTCTCAGAAGTGGACCTCGTGCTTCGTGTTCTTCCTCGTGCTTCGCCGCGCTTCGCTTGGTGTTGGCTCGATACATCGGGGCGGTTTGGTTGATCGCCTGCTACTTGTAGATGTTGGAAGAGTTCTGGACTTCTGGTGGTCCCCAAATAGATAGAGTTTCGGTGGTTTGTACTGTATCCTTTTAGTTTCGTGGGGAGAAGATTCCAAGGGTCTAGACGACTTGCAAATTGGGTCTCACCTTTTGAAGCGTGTTGAAGGTGCTCCCAACGGTTGAAGATATTATGATATTAACGGATATCACACATTAACTATACCTCAGCACACTGACCGTCTGACCCAAATTCTATTTTCTCATCAGGCCCATTTTTCCTTGTACACCTCTTTGACTCTAAGGCCCGATGTGCAAGTCCAAGATGCCTCGGACTTTGGAGATGACTTCTTCGAGCAATTTGATTCGTGGGGACCCCCGAGATGACTTATTCAAGCTTCTTGAGAAGCGCCTTCGGCGGACGTCTGACCAGTGTGTTGTGTTTCTTATATGTCAAAAACGGCAGAACATGGCTGAACTGCCTTCAGAGATTTAGACTTTTTTCAGAATGCTTTAATATATAATGTAAACCATCAGCTGGCAAAATGTCCTGGCTTTTAGGGACGGAATCCGGGTTCCACGGTTTTTGGTGAGATGAGAGGCTCGAACGGCATGTTCCGAGACCCCAACAGCCTGGCTTGAGTCCTGGCTTGGTTGTTTTTACCTGGTTTAGATGTTGAACGTGTTTGGAACTGCAAAAGGCAATGGCCCACTGCCTGTGCAGTATGGAAATCAATGAATATTAGATTGAACATGCATTGGAGACTTTTGCTTCTGTTGGGACTGATCCATATTGTTGCTTCCTTTCATTGGGGCTACTTTAAGGTGCCCCACTCGAGATTTGCCCGGATGTTCAACATCTCCTTTTTGGGAGAAAGAGAATCGCGCTCACTGTCCTCGTCCGTCTTCCGGGAACAAGGAGAAATCTCATCTCGGTTCATGCGAACCGTCAAGGTTACCTGTTGGTTCCCATGACCGTCTTCCAAGCCAAGCAAGGTGCCAATGGACTCATCCAAGTAAAGCAGGTTGAAGAAATCACAAAGCCGTGTTGAACTTGTGGGATAGGAGGAGTTGAAATCAAACAAATTTGTAGAACCATGCTTTTGAGGTACAGGGAAGGATTCCTGGGTTTGCTCAAGGTGATGGCGATGGTTGTTATTCTCCCTTAGGGTAAATTCCGTTCTATAACAAACATGTGTTCATTTGTTTTTCCAGGTTCCCTAAGCAAATCCAAGGATTCAATGACTCACATGCAAGTTCACATTCATATTTATAAAGAATGTGTTTCGCGGAGCCCCTAGTAGCGTCCTTGCTCCTAGTAGCGATGTCCTTTGCTCCTAGTAGTGTTCTTGCTCCGTTCGTAGTAAGGCCAGGAGCCCCGATCGTAGCGTCCTTGCTCTGGGCTTGGAGGCTTAAACTACCCAACTTGAGGAGGTACCCAACTTGAGGAGGTTGCTGGATCAGTTGCTGGCACTCGAACATTCCATCCTGAAGGGCACGCTCACATTCCATGGATGTGCTTTGAGGCAAAGGGCTTCGTCGAAAGGCGGGTCTCAGAATGGTCGAAGGGAAGACGAAGGGAAGACGAACCACAAACCTGTCCACCTTCGATCTTGGATGGGGCTTTCCGCCGCCAGCCCCCCCCCGGCAGCTTCTCCTGGTGTTCTTTCCAACCAAAAGCCATGTTTATTCCCACCTCAGTTCCCACCTCTTGGTGGAAAGACTCCAGAAAACCCGAGTCTCCTGAAATGACCAGGACCGTCTCTCGGGAGACAGCGATACTCCGAACGCTTGAACTCGGTCCGGGTGAGATGGATCGGTGGAGCAAGACTGAAGAAGCCCTACATTGCTTGGGATTCATCATGGATTCATCATGTTTCTGTTTCAAGACCAACTCTAGATTCCTGGTCCTGTGAAGCGTTTCTTTTACACTGTTCACACTCAGATCACTGTGAGGTTGGCTGATCAGATTCCTGCCAAACCCGGCTTCTTCGGCTCCAAAGCGCCAAACCCCTCTTCGGGGGAACGAATGTCGGAACCAGTAACCCGCTTTGGCCTTGCACCTCAAAGCCTCATTGTCCTTTTCAAGCTTCCAGCTCCCGTTTTGCTAAAGCACCATTTAAACTGGTGCGTGACCAAAGCACTGGTTAAACTGGTGCTTTGACCCACTGGGTGGTGGTTACACAAGAGCTTTTGTCAACACCGTCAACGCCAAGAGGTTTGATATTTGGTGAATCCACCATGCCGATGGTGAAACCAAGCCAAGCTATGCGGCTATGCAGATCGGCGACCGGGTCAGGTGCCACCGATCACTCCGCCAGGTGCACCACCGCCTGCGCAGGCGTGGTTTACAAAGTTTACCAAGTTTCGGGGGCCGTGGTGTTTCGGTGAGCAGAACATGTGATGTTCGTTTTGTTTATTTCATGTTTATTGATTTTGTTTCGGTCTTTGTGGACGGATCAAGCCAACAGAGGTTAAGTGACCTTATAGGACCCTACAGGGGTACCTATAGGATAGTCTATAGTCTATAGGGTTCTTCAACCTCTGCTGGAAGGCATTCAAAGGCCCATTCAGCTTGGCCCCAAATCAAGTTGAATCGATGATCTTGGACACCTGGCCCCATGGAAACGTGTTCCAGTTTGCCGAAAAGAATCGATGTGTCTCGCAGCCCTGGACTCCACATCACTCCTGGACTCCTTTCTTCCGTTTCTTCGGAACCAAATGCAGCGCACGAAACCAACGACGAAGGACCCCCACGGCCACGTTTGTCACGTTTTTCGCGGTTTTCCGGGCATCGTGTGGGCCCGACCCACCTGCTTTCGGTCCCAGCATCGTCAGGGTCGCGTGGGGCACGTTTTGACTCTTGTTTCTTTACCAGACAGAGTTATTTTCCATGGTTGGATCATTTTGGCTTGATCAATGGATTGATCAATCAATTGATGTGGATCAATATGGATGGAATGATATATATATATATATTTATATGTACGTATACATGGATTGATGAAGATCACCATACCAGCAGTTCCAAAGGTGTGCTTAATGGAGTGCCCTTGTCATCCACTTGCTGGATGGGTCTTGACGACCATCTCTTTGGAACTCTTGGTAAGTTCTTTCCCTTTTTGGCGACATCAAATTCTTTTCGTCTCTATTTAGGAAACCCCCCAGGGTTTCAACAGGTTAACCCCCACCCCCTCCAGGCGGCTGCAGTCGCAAGCAGCGCGCCGAGCCGGCCGAAGGTGGCCGGTTTTAGGGTGACGGGAAGCGGTTTTCAAGATCCCTGTCCCCCACGGCCTTTTCTGCTCCAACCTAATGGCGATGGCCTCCAACCTATTAGCGATGGCCTCCAACCCAACAACGATGGCCTCCAGACTTGAGCAGTGGAAATTGATATTAAGTTGATACAGGGTACAGGTGTTTGGTACGACATGTTCTTGAAGGGTCTTCAAGATGAACTCGTCGTGATCTGTGGGGGACCACTTCAATTGGGTGGGTGGGGGTTGTCCTCTCCGTGTTTTTTCTGGGACCAAAAAGCAAGGCTGACAGTTACTTCAACTAGTTTAATCCCAAAGGGCTTGAGCCTGAGATACCATAATAAGATACTGTTGTTGGACAGGGGATATCACACATCAGCAGTATCCAGACTTAGACACGGTACAGCGAAGATAGTAGGAAGAACGTGAACCCTTGCACAACGTTTGTTTTGGTTTGGATGTGTGTGTGTACACATACGATATGCACCAATTTACTAGACTTGATAGAGACATGAGGCTTCCAAAAAGAGTGCAATGAGGTGAACTCAGGGTATCTCAGCGGAAGTCCTCATGCGTTTGAACCGCACCGCAGAAGTCCTCAACTGTTCCTGTTCTCCCCTGAAATGCGGACAACGGGTACATTCTCGAAGTCATCCGTCACAATACCTGTCAGTCTGAAAAGTACGGAGCTATTTGCTTGCTTCTCAGGAAAGACACCATCTTCTAGCCCTGTTCCAATCTTCAGCGACCGCCAGCAACATCTTTGCAGCCCCCAAAAGTGTGACCCCCATGAAACCTGAGGCAGGAACCCCAGGAACCCCTGAGAGTACATGTTTGTAAGCCCTTGTGTACCGCACGTGAAGCTCCTGGTGTTCCATTAAGCGTTTGAGGTCCTGTGTTTTTGAGGTCGCCGCTTTGCTTCAAAAAGAGGCCCCAGCACCAGCTGCGCCGAAAGCCACAATGCCGAAGGTGATTGGGGACGGGAACCAACGAGGTGGAAAGATTTATTAGAGTACTGTATGCAAATTCTATATAGAATCTATTAGTACTGTATGCCTAGAAAGGGTAATATAATATATATATATAGAAAGCAATCTAGTATATTGACATGTGCAAAGATGTAAACTATGTTGACATGAAATCGGGTTCAACAATTCCCAGACACTCCATGGGACTGGCATATTTACATACGTTGACCCCAGGTCAACCACCCTCATGTTGGAGACAAACACCCTACATGGAGTGTTTGGGATTGATTTCTGTTGAGTATCCAGTATTTAACGAGTCCTGTAGGAGCAGCTGGTGCGAGCCGGAGGGAGCAAAGTCCTGGCCCAGGGAGATCCATGCTGTTTCAGCCCCAGGAAATAAAAGGGGAGTTCACAAAGGCCTTGCTATATAGTAAGTTCATAGTAGGTTGGAGGCCATCGCTAGTAGGGGTTGGAGTTGGAGGCCATCGCTAGCAGGTTGGAGCAACAGGTGACAAACCAGTCGACCTTTGTCGGCCTCCGCCCAAATTCCCAGCCGTGGAGTCGGAATTTGTTATGAACATCATTATATAACCTAAGCTCATCATGAACGAGCTGGCTGGTTGGTGGGTGCCACGTTAGCCATTCACCAACCCTTTTGTTGATGAATGGCTTTTGGTGCTGGTACCAACTGCTTTCCATATAGATGATTGGCGATGATGCTCCTTGACCAGTGAGTCGCAGACAGAGCCCTCCACTCACCGTAGCCGAGCGTAGAAGCAGACTCAATGCTTAGGAAGATGGATGTTAAACTATAACAGTTAATGTTCCTGCAATTATGCTGACCTTTTTGTGTCTATATATCCATCCTGTTTCCATTTTTGGATGGGGACCAGTGACTCATCAGTCCTGTACATTGGGTCTTGGGGCACTCCGGCTTTGCAACTGGCACCCGCAGGCCAAGAGTGAACCCGCCAAGAAGCTGGAGTCCTCCTTAGCATGCATTTGGTCGCAAGCAAGTTGGGTCGACGTCAGCTGAGTAGCGTTTCTTCACTGGCTATTTATATAGATTGGACTGCAACCCCCAGCGAAACCCAGAAGTGTATATGTAGGCACTATGTAGGCACTTCGTCTTCCTGAAGAATCACGGCTCAGCTGATGCCCAGAAGCTGTCAACGTCATTGTTTACACCACCCCAGCAGAGCCGAGGAGCAGAAGTTTTAAGAGAAGAAATAGGAAGCAGGGAAACCTCAACCTGACCGAGTAGGTGTCAGTGATGAGAGGATGCAGCCAGTGGTCATTATCCTACTGTACTTGGCGCGTATCTACAAGGTCGCTGAAACGCGGTCACAACACATCGATTCTTTTTTAACTTGTTCCCATTGTGCTCCGCGCAGCTTTGGCTTTGATGTTATCATGCGCAAGATTCAGTATGCGTCTCAGCCCAACAGTCCCAACATGTCATTCAGAATATGCTTCATGCGCTCGTTCAGCACGATGTCGTGATTTGGTGTCTTCAGTGGGGATGAATCGCTGTGACACATTGTCATGTGATGCCGCGCCCCCGGCCCCACGCATGTCGGACACATGCACAGACAGACACGCACGGCACACGGACGAATTGGATCCTGATTTCTGCGCAAGTGTAGCACATGCGCCATCACACACACACACACATGTGATACACTCGTCCACTGCTTTTTGTAACTCAGAAGTTTCTCTAAAAAACATGTTTTTGATGTACAAAAGAAGCCGTGTGTGGTGCCCTAAGCCGTGCGGCCGCATCCTGATGCCCTATCAAGATCCGGCCGTGATTCCATGTGGCTCCCCATCTCAGGGATTGGGACTGACTCGCTGGATGCTAGTGGTGTAGTGTGAAATTGCTTAGTAAAACAAGGGGGGTTCGGTAAAACAAATTATATAAGTTAATCCATGGTTGTTGGAAGCCCAGGGGATAGCTTTTTCGTCATGTGAACATGTTCCCCAGATATTTAGAGCGGTTTATTTGAGTCATGCAACCAAGGCAAGCAATGTGTATTTTCCTTTTCCGCTTGTGTGTGTGTGTCACCTTGTTTGTTTTTCACCACTTTGATGTATATATATTGATATGGATGTTGCTGTCACTAATGGTAGGATCATGCACCCAGCAATTCCATCGAGTTGGGTGCTATATCGGAAGTCGGATGGGATGCCCCGGTTTCACATCCACAGCCCCGAATGATGGGTTGGAGGCCATCGCTCTTAGGGTGGAGGCCATCGCTCTTAAGGTTGGAGGCCATCGCTCTTAGGGTGGA